TAGGGTTGCTGAGAGTCAAAACAGACTCGATGGCAGGGAGTTTCAGATCCAATCTAGGGAGCCCTCTCCCTCCAGCACTCTACGGGACAGTGTTCCGTGTGACCCACAGGGCTCCACTGGCCCTGTTGTAAAGTAGATCACCGGGCCTTCCTTCTTCACCTCTGTCCCGGAAGCTCTGCTGAAACCTGTCTACCCCAGGTGACCCTCCTGGCAGTCGAAATACTAGCGGCATGGCAACACATAAGCCACCACAGCATGGCCAATGGGCAGGCGGGTGGTGGCTCCCTCTGCACCAGGGTTGATAACGTGCCGCCCTGATGCCCTGCTCCTTCCCAAGCCCTGGAGGACCCAAGGTGTTGGTGCTGGCTTGAGCCCGTGCAGAGAGGCTGGCCCTGTTGGTACCAAGGGCGCTGGTCTAGGGGAATATTCATCGGTAGACCCTCCCTGTACCTAGCAAGTCCCACCCTCTCCTCTCTATGGCCAGGAAGCCAGTTGGCCCTGCCCCACCAACCTTCCAGCCCTGACCAGGTCATGGTTTGTGCCAGGCCCTCGAGGGAGGGGCACTTCAGCCAGCCATCCTCTGCCCCCGCTCTGGGCAGCCACCTCAAGGTCAGGGCAGAGCGATGGACTCAGACTCAGGTGGGCTCACCTGGGAGAGGGAGTGGGGCCAGCCCCTTGATGGGCGCCCCCTAGCTAGGGCAAGGCCGAATGCCCTCTCCGACCAAACTTGAGCCTCGTGACCAAAAGGGTGGGAGCCCTTTGCTCTCTTCCTCCCTGAGAGCCTGAGGAGCAGGAGCCAAGCCAGGTCAAACAGAGAGCCTCAAGTACCTTTCCCTCTTCCGGCAGGGGAAACTGAGGCAGAACTACATTGGTCAGAGAAGAACACATTGTTACTTCACTAGATGAAGAGGGAGGCCGATGGCAGCCCTAAGTTTGGGGTACCCTCTTCCCAAGATCTCGGGCAAGGTGTGGTATGGGGGTGCAGAGCAGGAAGTGGCAGCCCAATCCCTGAGGACGTCTGGGGTGGGAGGCCATTGCTGGTGGACTGGTCTGTTCCCAGTGAGCTCCACCCACCACCCTACCAATGACAATCAGAATGGTTCAGAGGGCCAGCTGGCCCGGGCTGCCCAGGACCCCTGCCCCACATCCCTGCCCCTCAAATGCCCTGTACCCCATGCCCCTGCCAGTGCATGCCTCATGCCATCACCCAGCACCCCCTGGCACCCTGTCCATGTGCTGTCCATGTGCTGTCCACATGCTCCTGGAGGCAAAAATCGGCCCGGCAATCAGTCTCTTACCTTCATGGGCTGAGGGGCACGTGGCCAAGCTGCGTTTGACAAGCTGCGTGGCCTCCCTCAGTGCTGGAAGGTTGATGGACAGGCTGCACGTTTGATGGCTGGCCACTGCAAGTTCAGCCTCCTTCCCCCCATTGAGTCGTGGCCACTGTCCCCGAGCCTGGTGGGTGACAGGCCTTCCAGAGCTGGGCACACCCAAGGCCCAAGAGGGAGGTATGGCTGGGTGGTGGGCAGTGACTTGACTGACCACCCCAAGCCCTTTTTTGGGGGGCTGGGAGGAGGCATTGTGAGCAGCTCACAAATCCAGGAGACCCCCTGCAGGCAGGCAGGTTTCCTGCAGGGATGTCCGAGCTGGGCTGGGGGAGAGGCAGAGTTCTGAACCCCTCCTCTCCCATCAACCTGAGCCGCAGCCCTGCCCGGAGCCCCCAGCAGGTGGTTCTCAGCCCACAGGCCATGAGTGAGCACATGGGGGGGGGGGTACGGACTAAGTAGCTCCCTAGAACCCAGCCTGGCCCAGACAGGGGCTTCAATCCCAGCAGGAGCCCCACAAACCACCGCTGGGCTGTCAGTGGTGGCAATACCAGGTCCTGGAAGGCTCCAGGCTCTTGGGGCTCCTGGGGTTGAAGGGGGGTGGGAGGCAGCAAGCCTCCTTTTGGAGGTGCCTACACCCCAGCTGGGGAGGAAGACAGGGGACAGGGGATAGGGGAGGGAGGGCTTTCTGCTCCTGTAAAGAGTTCGTTTCGGAACCGCCCGGAGCAGTTCTGCCCGGTCCTGTAGGGTCACGATGAGTTGGCATCGGCTTGCTGGCCGTGGAGTTTGAGTTTGAGACCGCCCGGCTGTGAACTGGGGCTTCCTACTTTTCAGGTTGTGCTTGGTGGCCTGATAGTGTCCCTAACACCAGGATCCTCGGGTGGGCAGGACTGAGGACCCTGGGTGGGTGGCCAGATGCCTGGAAATGTGGCCCGAAGTGTGGCAATCAGGCAGCTGAGTGGGGCAGTGGTGGGGGATTCAGGTGTCCTCAGAGCTGAGATAAATTGGCAGGAAGAGGGGATAGTTTCAGTCGTGTGGGTGCGTGTGGGGCCTGCTCTGGAGGGGGGCCCAGCTGCCACAGCCCCACGCACCCAGCCTGGGCTGGGCAATGCAAGAGGGACATCTAGGTTGGCGGGGCCTCAGGCTCCTTGTAGCCTGAGACCCTAGTTACTGCCGGCTTAGAGCCAAGCGGGACAGTCGGAGGTGGCGGCAGCCCTGGCCATGAGCCTGCAAGGCTGCCGCCGGCCCCTCCCGGGTGTGCAGGGAGGCCCGCTGAGGTCACCGCTCCAGTGTGTATTCTGAATACCTTCAGCTGTGTGTGCACTGTGGGGACTTGGCCCGTGCACTGCGTGTGCAGCTCATACTTGGTGGGTTGTGTAATGTCCCGGGTGCTGCCAAGGGCAGCCCAACTGTGGACTTCTTCCAGCACCGTCACATGAGCCCTCCCACCCCCAGCGCTGGGCCGGGCCTCCTACCCAGCGACCACGGCTGCTCCCACTCAGGCAGAGGCTGGAGCGCAAGGAAAGCAAGTGCCATATGCTCGGTCCCATTTGACCTGTCCGCTTCTTGGTCCCTCTGGGCTCCTGAGGACATCAAGCTGTCAAGTCCTGCACTGGCTCGGCCTGGGGGAGCCTGCATGATGCGGCTGCAGACCTTGGGGTGGCGGGGAGGATCCCGCCTGGTTTTCCAGGGCAGTCATTGAGGGGAGGGGGAAGACCATAGGCCACTAGGTTCCTGCTCTGTAAGGCCACCTTCCTGCAGGTCTCTGGGGACTTGCAAGGGCAGACCTTGTCCAGCCAGCTCTCTCTGTGGCCTCAGCCCTGCCCTCTCATTGGGCCTGAGGTAAGGCCCACCCAAGACCTCAGAACCTTCGAGACCAGTGGATGCTCAGTGCATGGCTCCAAGCTTCATTCCCCATGCCCAGTGGATACACCTCCACTAGCGCCATCTGGCCAGCCAGGCAGCAGGGATGCTATGGCTGGGCCAGGGGCAGAGGGCTCCAGCAAGGAGACAGCCACAGGCTGAGGGTGCTCATTCTGTATTCAGCTCAGCCCTGGGGAGAGGAAGCCAGGGCGCTCAGGGACAAGGGAGTGGGGGTGGGGGGGGGACCCCCTATTGCTGAGTGGAGGGGCACTCGGTTGCCACGGTGACTGAGGTCTGCACAGTCAAGCCCAGCCCAGCCCCTTCTCTTGGGCTGGAACCATGCCCCCCCCCCCTTGCATCCCCCCTCTCGTTCACACTGAGTGTTGCGTCTCCTGGTCACAAAAACATGGAAACGGTTGCCATGGCAGCCATTCTTTGGAGCCCTCAGACTAGAGTGCAAAGGTCAGGATGCCCAGGAACAGCTGAAACAAAAATATGGGAAAACCCACTCTTTCCCTCATCCCCAGAACGGATGAGTCAGATGGTGTTGCCTGGGGCCCTCAGGGCCCAGCCCCTCCCGGGTACCCTGAGCCGAGGATGAGCAAGAGGGCCCGGATGGAAAGCAGAGACCTGAGGGGAGCCAACAGCACTGGGTGGGGAATGGGGGGGGGGGAGGTGATGTGCCCTGGAGCCACCAGTGGTGGGGCTACCAGTGAGGGTGATCTGGTCCCTGGTGGTGGCCCCGGTTGGAAGTGGAGGAACCTGCCACACCTGCAGGGACAAACTAGCCTCCCGTCCACCTAGTGGGGTAGAGGGGACAGGGCATAGTGAGTGGGCTCAGCAGGGGCAAGTGGCCTTCTTCTGAGCTGTGCCAGGAGATAGGGGAGGGCTGCCAATTGTCCTTGAATGGAGGTCAATGGGGCAAAGGTAGGGGAGAGGGGTGGTCATGTGCCCCACCAGCAGCTCCCACGTGGGGTCCATGGTACACTGGTGACCTGAGATGCACCCCAACCAAAGTGTTGGCACTTTGTGAAAAGCATGCGCGCACACACACACATAGATTCGGGCTCAGAACAGTCTTGCAGTCAGGAACCTTCTTGGCTGCGTTCAATCAGTATTTCACTAATTTATTTGAGTAAGTGCCCCTCCCCTCCGCCCAGGGCTTTCCCCTCCGGTTGTCTTAAAGTTTTTCTCAATATCCGGCAGGATAAGCTAGGTCGGACTAGGGCGATGGTTCTCAGAGAGGCTCCTGGGAACGTATTAGAAATGCGTGTCCCAGGGCCCGGGAGCCCGGGAACAGGTTTTCATGGCCCCTCTGTGTAGTTCCCACAAAAGTACGGGCAGGACTCGGGGAGGGAAAGTGGGGAGATGATGACCACAGCGCATGCCCGGACACCGGGAGAGGCTCTGTGACCCGCAGGGGAAGGCGGGACAGGGCTGGCCTCGGGTACTGTGGGCCTGTGGGCACTGGTTGTCCTGAGTTTGGGTGGAGGGTGGGGGGTATCAGGAGTCTGGGGGATACGTGATGGTAGCTATCTGGGAGCCACCTGAGGAAATATGCCCTGGGTATGGGTGTGGTCACTTGCTGGGGGCAGCATCTTGTCCTCAGATGCTGGGGGTGCCGGGTAGCCCCTTCAGGCACCAGCGAGGGGCAGCTTCTTGGCGCATGGCCTCTGCCCTGCACGGGGACGGGATTCTAAGATCATCTTTCCCTGGTGCTCTGCAGCACTCCCAGGGCCTAGTGAACAATCTTGGGGGCTGGGGGACCAGGCACACCCTGGTAGCCCATCCACTGCCTGTGTCTCCTTACAGCCGTCCAGATCCACATCCTGAAGGCGGACAAGGTGGGGGACTGGTGGAAGTTCACGGTGAACATCATCTCCGTGTACAAGCAGGGCACGAGCCGCATCCGCCGCGGTGACCAGAGCCTGTGGATCCGCTCGCGGGACATCGCCTGCAAGTGCCCCAAAATCAAGCCCCTCAAGAAGTACCTGCTCCTGGGCAACGCGGAGGACTCACCAGACCAGAGCGGCATCGTGGCGGACAAGAGCAGCCTGGTCATCCAGTGGCGGGACACGTGGGCCCGGCGGCTGCGCAAGTTCCAGCAGCGAGAGAAGAAGGGCAAGTGCAAGAAGGGCTAGCAGGGCGGGGCGGGCCAGGGGCGAGGGCCACGGCCAAGGGCACGGCCACG